GGACAGTGTTTACATATTCCCTTTGGAAACTACATTAGTTAAATTTAAAGGTGATGTGTGTTTGTGGGACTGCTTGCTAAGTCACAGGACTTGTTCGTTACTGTCTCAGAAGTCAGTAACTCTTGCTATAAATATCCCATCCTGGACACAATTCTGCACTCTTTACTCACGGATCTTGGCTTTCTACAGTCACACAACTATATTTAGGCTCGGAAAGCCTGAATTTCAGGAAGAAGAAACGGGGCACTACAGGACAATGCCATAGGATAGCATCAATCTTAAATTAATCAGACTTCACTAGTCTTACATTTTTCTATTCCAATCATACAACTGCTTATAGCTAAGCACTAACTGTAGTATACAACAGAAATAACAGAATAGTCTTTTAAGGCTAAAATACAAGCCAGAACTGAGTTGCCTTTAAAATCATACCTATTTCTAACCTGGAAAAATAAAATTAGTATTGATACAGGCATGATTCATTGGTGCATTACTTTATCTTATCCTGCCAAAATTCAGTTTGAATTTAGCATAGTTTTTTGTGTAGATTCAAGTGAGGAAAAGCATTGTGATAAATCAGGATGAAAACTTCACACATTCTCAGATATACAAGAAAAGTTTGCACTCAAGGAGGATTTTTTTGTTTTACTTGCAACTGCCCACGGAAAGTAACATTTATTTTTAATTTCTGTATCTGGAGGAAGAGTATCAGAAATCTCCCTATCACAGTAATACAGCACTTATCAGAAAACCTAAAAAAATATCATGCTGTTTGTATGAACTTAAGAGGATATTGGATTTAAATATTTTTTTTGAAGTCATAATAATCCAAATGCAAAAATAAAAAGTAAAAGTTGAAAAATATTTAGAATCAAATGTAAAATGCAAAATAATAAATGTAAAATAATCTGGCAACAGACAGTCTACACACAATGCTTCCTACAAATTTTATGTTTTCATTGTTCTTGTTTTAATCCCATAAAACATGCACAAAAGCCTCACCCTCTTTCTTAGAGCCTGGGAGTAAAGTGCATATTCTAAATACAAGAATAACCATAGATAGCAGAAAAGTAATTCAGATTCAACTGCCTGTTATTGAAACTCTATCAATTTTGCTTTCATGTTTTCCCCCACTTTAAAAACCTACACATTTACATGAAAAACAACCCATTTTCTACTGCATGACAACTCAAGTTTTCACTTAATCTAGATTTTAAACTAGCATTAAAAGAAGACTGGATCTTAAAATTTTACCTTTTTTGTTTTGTTTTTTTTTAAGAAATCTTGTTCTGTCAGAAAACACATTGCAAAAGACTGACCACCAAGAATAAACAGAGGGAAGGTGGCAGAGGAAATATTACTATGCAATTTTACAAATGCCAAACAAAGACAAAAACGGGAACATCCTGCTGAAATTAGCGGCAAATCTCCCATTACCTCCCCTGGGGCCAGATTATCACCTACAGAGGCTCAAGGATTTGCTCAGGCTCTGAATCCAGGTCTTTGGAGTCTTGTGTCTACCCGGAGAGCTAAGCCCCCTCTTATCACTAAACAAGCTCACACTGGGTTAAGGCCTTGAATTTTCCATTCCCACTTGCCCTGGGCGTGGGAAGCAAACTGAGCGAGTGGCTCCACCCAGGTCAGCAGAGCAGCACTGCACTGTGCCTGAGCTCACACCGGTCCTGCTCTCACTGCCCTCCAGGCAAGTGTGTGCCTGCAAGCCCGAGTGCTAATGAATCCCCCAATAATAAAAAGGACTGGTGACACAGATTTTTACAGCAATGATTCACAAAACTGTCTTCTCTTGCGAGAAAAAAACCCCATCCATTCATTAATAGAACAATTTCTAGTCATATAATCATTTTTAAACTCGGCTTTCAGATTTTTATTATGACAGCTACATTTCTGAAACACCAGAAATGGAATCCCTTCAAAAATGTGCAAAATCATTTCAATGTTCCATGTGTATCTATGTTGCTGCGTTGTTTTCAGACAGTTGTAGAAATCAGATATGGAATTGGCCAATTGCATGACATGGCTCATTTTCATACACTCATGTTTCATTGTTCCATACTGTGAACTTCCCTATGTATTTTCCAGCTCCACAACCAACAGTGCTTTGCACTTTTTCCCAGCCAAGCAACTGGAGAAAGGTATTTTTTGATAAGGGCTTCTTATTGTTTTAATTTTGTTTTGGTTTGGTGTTTTTTTGTTTTGGTTTAGTTTTGTGGGTTTTTTTCATTAATTCTTAGATGGAATTTGAAGAAACAGAAATAAATATTATTTATTTTACAGAACCTGGTCACTGATTAGGTTTAATTCTTAAAAAGATAGTGGGTATATTTGTGAATTTGTATATTTGTGAATCCATCCACTAAGAAATTATTGAAAGAATTTCAAGAAAAAAAAAATTAACTTTAACAAGTCTTGCTTGGCTTTCTGGTAAAAGCCAGAGGAAAAATAAACTTAAGGTACATTTACAATTTTTTCAGTTTTTATCAGAATATACTTGAGATCTTAGGAAAATAAAATATTAATGGAAAAGCATTTATTAAGACCATAAAAAATAAGATTACAAAGAGGGAAATAAACAACTTGTACTACAGGAATATGTAATTATTTCCAAGCTGCTGGGGTCCAGTTACAGTACGTGAAGGGCAAGATGCCGAAAAGTTGTCAACTCAAATGTATTGTCACTCCAAAGTCATTAATTACTGTTGGGCCTCATGTCAGTCAGGAGCCAATAGTGAGCTACTGGCATCACTCTCATTTAGATGTTTCTACCCTGCGTGTGTGTTACTGCTCTGCCTGAACCAGAACATCGGGTAAATCGTAACAGACATTTCCTCTGACATCCACCAATAAATCACCAAGGAGAGAGGGGACAGTTTTAGCCCCAAACACCCCCAGAGGGAGGGATGGTTTATTAGCCAGTCAAGTCTAGAAGATGACCCTAATATAACAAAGGGCTTATACAAAATATAACAATGTAGCAAACAGAGAAAAGAGCAATGATTTCAGGGTAGGGTGCCTCGGGAGATCTCAAGCAGGCAGACCGGCTGCCAGAGCTCTGCAAGTGGGGAAATGGGAGTAATTTCATCCCACAGATGGATAGCCCTCTCTGGGGATAAGCTCTGTGTCACAGGTCCAAAAGACACGCTGGTCATCCCTGGGTTTTTGTTCTTTTTATTTGTTTAGATCCAGTGCTGTGAAGCATTAATAAAGACTACCTGGGACTCATTTTGTCAGGGGCTGAAAAAGAGACCACGATATAGGAAAGCGAAATTTTTTCTGAAAAAATAGCTTAGCTTAGTTTAAGGATAACTTGGTAATATATCTTATTTTCTCATCTATGTTCTTTCTAAAGAACGTATCTTTTGGAGGTATTAATGAATAAATGCTTTTCACTTCCTTTTCACCTTATTAGCCATTAAATGGATATTTGCATGCCTTCAAGGTAAATGGATAATGACAAGACATTTCTTGGAGACTGGCATATCTATTAATGAAGTCACCTGGGAAAACAAGTAGAATAGCTTCTCATCACACTAGCATCTAAGTCCAAAGAGTAATATAGCAGGCTGTTATTTCAACTACACAGACCATGAAGGACAATTGTCTTTCAATGGCTGACAGCAATTAAGAAGGATGGCCTTCTGGTGTGTACAAAGATACTGATGGAATCCTGACAGTCACAGAAACTATATTACAGGTGCTTATTCTAAGGTAAATGAAAATGCAAACCAAAATAAAAAACGGAATGGTCCTCTATCCCTTTCTTTCCTCTTTCTCTCTCAACAGTGTTCAGTGTTCTTTTTACCAAACACAGAACACAACTTATTATGCACACATAAGTATTTTCCCCTGGTTGCAGTGTTGGAATGATCCCCAAGCATGTTGATTCCAGTAATAATTCAGTAATCTAATCTTCGGCTTACAAAAGCACAGGCAACAGCACCAGTAGCTACAATGGAGGGAGAATATTACACCCTTATCACCAGGTGTCAATACAGTCTTGTGGCACGGCCACCATTTGGCTAATAATCTACAAACTAATTAACTAGCAAGAGCTGCCCTTCCTCAGCCCAGGTAACTCATCAGTATCAGCTCTGTGAAGTCATGTCTTCCCCCTTCAGCCAAGGAATGCCAGCAGTGCAGGGTCACAACAGTCCAGATCTCCTGCCCAGACCTCTCTGCAGTCTCTGATGCCCTTTACATACAGGAAACCAACACCGATACACTCCACGAGAGCCTCCCAAACAGCTTTGAGGAGCCCTCTACAACACTGCCTCCTCATAGCAAGGGGAAGCATCATCCCAAGTGTTTCCTCAAGCAGAAAAAGACAAATTAAGTCTATCACAAAAGTAACTCTGCAGTGCTGCCAGTGATGAAAGAGCAAGGTCACTGCCCCCCTACTTTCTATCCCATGACAAGGCAGTATTCAGAGACAATGTGTAATTATTGGTCCCTAGCAATGCTACATTCAGAACACATCACTTTAACATTCTGCCTAGGGTGCTTACAGAAGTTAAATGATTCCTCACCTTCCCACGCAGCCTTGTGAGCCTACACACAATCTTGACAGTCAGTGCTCTGCTTTTTTAGTAAATACAGGACAGCTTTCACCCTATAAGCACGTAAAGTCTCAAGTTCCTCTCGTTTTCTCTAGTCTCTTCCTCATCTCCTACATGGTATGACTTCCCTATGGTGGTCCATGCTGAGCAGGCCACCAAACCACACTGACGTGCAGTGCCAGCATCTGGTGCTGGGGCAGTGGAACTTTGGTGGGCCACGCTGCACCCACCACTGCAGGTCTTTATCCTTTGAAAGATTTTTTTTTCCACCTTCCCTGCTTAACAGCCCAGCATGTGATACATCCTTTCTAAATCATTGTTAATTAAGATTTTCTGCTTCTGATATAAAAATTTTCTCTCGGATAATCCACATCCATTTTAATGTATTGTTATATTTTCAGAAATAACTAAGAACTTAAATCTTACCTTAAATTTATCAACTTCTGCCTTCGAACATGTTGCATGGTAAGACAACACCTGCACCAGAACAAAAGATAAAAAGCAGTTTTGTACACTTGACAAATAGAACTATCAGGGTTCTTTACTACAGTCTAATCAATTATGTTTAAAGCAATATTTAATTAATATTTATGTGTAGTAATTCAGTTCTGAATGGCAGCACATAATAGCTAATTGCAGCTTATCAGACAGACATTTGGCATTTATGTTGCAGGGAATTTTACAGAGAATCATGGACAATACGTGATTTATTATTATAAGGATTCCTACATTGTTATCCTGGAGTTCTACAATCAAAAGAAAAAGAATTTAATGTAGAAATAACAGTAGAGTTATGGACCTTAAATAACGTCTTTTGCTTTAATGCCTGTCCTAGTGACACATCACTGCACCTCTATACTACGCCTGACACTCTTTTCAATACCCTTCTGGAGATGGCAGCATCAAATAAAATGCACAAAGTACCACAAAGCTCCTCTTATTAGCTATTAGTATTCATCCATTTATATGGAATACATTCTATCTTATGTGACAACACTAACTCTGAACAAGCACTCCAGCAGTTGCAAGAGCCATCCTGTGTTCTGGACTCACGAGTACCGACTGTGCATGGGACAAGGTGCTGGGTCCATGGGAGACCTCACAGAGCCAGAGCACTCCTGGCCAGGACAGGTCCTCCTCACCACACAGCCACACCCAATCTGCTTGTGTGCCAAAGCTTTGATATATGCTTCTTGTTTTGAAATAATTTTCATCTATGGATGTCTCTGCTACTCATACAAATACCTAAACTGTATCTCAAAGGCCTTTGACTTGCAATACCTTGTAGCAATAAGTCTCACGATGTAGTTACTCTTATCAATTTTAGAGATGCCACCTTTTACAGTAACAGGAATTCATTCCTGCACTATAAAAGAATAAATAACAAACACCAATTCATTTTTTCTGTCCCACATTTTACTTTCTATAACTACACATCATGTCCTTTCTCAAGTAGTATCTATTTTTCTCTTGAACTGTATCGTAACTACTCTCAGAAATCAGTAAGATTAGTAAAATTATGCCTTCTGCTGTGACAGATTACACTTAATACCAAAGTTCTGTCAAGTTTCTCCTTTATCTGCATTCATTATACCCTCTAGATTTTTACAGTCCTCCTTAATATTTATTATTCTAATCTTCTAATCATTTGCAAATTTTGTATCCTGAATATAAAAAAAATTATTAGTCAGTCTCATGAACATACTATATAAAAACCTGTATCGGTATATCTGGATAAGAATTTTATTATGGTATGCATCAAACTGATTTATTTTACATCGGATATCAATATCACTTTTAAGTGCCATTCATTAACATTCTAGCTAAATACATAAATACTAATTCGGTATTCTATTACAGAAAAATGGATTCACAGTCCTTCAGCTTAGACCATTCTACTGTTAAGTACTTTCCTGCTATATTCCATCACTTTATACAAATATTATCAAGACTTGTTGCTCATTTATAGAAAGAATTACTCTTTATTAAGAAATAGTGGCCATTTATCAAACCTCTACTCTACATGTAAGCTATATGGTTACTAGTCTTTTTTAGAGCTAAGAAAGAAGCTGTATTTTAAACCAAGAAATTTTAATTTTCTTTTCTTTCTTTTCTATTTCAGTAGCAAATAACAAATGTCTGTGTTAACTTTCATCCCTGTGTATCTGAGTGAGATATCTGGCACTGCTTGTTTTTCTTGCCAAGAGGAGTATTCATTCTAAGGTGTCATAAAGCACAAGTATCTGGGGCATAAGAGGGCTTATACTAATTCATGACTATGACGTTTAAAGAATAAGGAATCTTGCAGGAGGCCTGACAAGGTCTCTTTTCCTCCTAAATGAATATATATAAAGGAATAATAAATAAAGCCACTTATGCTTATGAAGTTTTCCAACACAGTCTTACTGACTTCAAAGAGCCTTAATATGTCTGTGTGGACCACATGATAGAACCTCAATACACAGATTAATACTTCCAACCCTAAATCAAGGGAAAAAAAAGTCTTCATAGCAATCCAGTTTAGTTTTTGTTTTACTGGAGAGATATTCAAATCTATTTTTGTGATTCTTATTGTTATGGTGGATACAGTATAAACTCAAAGGAGTTAAAGGGTGCACGCATCAGGGATCACAGAATATGCTGAGTCCAGCTCTTAAATCTGCACTGGATCATCCCCAAGAGTCACTAGATCATTTTCTTCACTTAGGACATGTGGAATTTGAAACAATATCGAAATCTTAGCAAAGTTACCCTTTCATCAGAGAATGTTTTAATTGGTCTTGCCTGATGCTTTTTAATAGATGTGAAATTTCATTCAAGCTGTTCTTAATTATTATTTTAGTAGAAGTAATGCAATGATTACAATTAAAATCCCCAGATACATGATAGAGAATAGTGCTGTATTGTTGAATCTGCTAATAGAAGATTAAATGATCATAGTTTTTTTAAATGTTCTGCATTTTAGAATTTACTTCACAGGAGCTGGTAGATATCATCAACTGGAGGGGAGCTGAAACACTTGAACTTGAATTAAGCAAAAAAATAGAAAGCTTTCCATCCACTTAGCTCCTCTATTTTATAGAAAGACATGATTTGTTGGAATGCCAGGACCTTGCATTATGTATTGGCCTTGACCCACAGCAGAGCTCTTACTGAGCTGTCACCCTTCCAGCTTTGACTCTGTTCTAACAAGACATGCATCTGGTAAGGGATCAGCAGATGTTACTTTTGATACTAAAAATGCTACTGACAAGGAAATACATATAACACGTAGATTAATTCGTACACTTACATCTCTAAGAAACTAGATTCTCCACCACCACTGTTGCACCTTCCAAAGTAAAAAGCACAGGCATCCAAGGAGGTATCTATGTTCAAAATTACTCAAGCTATGCACGAGCCCTACAACTAATGGTACCTTGAGAAAGTTTCCCTTCAGCATTACCTTAACAGGACAACACAAAGTGCAGAGGGGTAGATGCACAAAATTATTCTACCTACTGAATAAATATATAAATAAATTACTGAATAAATTCAGAAGCAGTAGGCTCCTTTATGTGTGACACTTAGGAGTAAAAACAGGTGCCATGAAGATGTACACATACGTCAAGAGCCACAGACTGTTTCGCCCAGGATTTCTTCACTTGGTCATACATAATTGTGTTGTTGATACCCAGGCCACAAAAAATAACAAAAGCCTAAAATTAAAAAAGAGGAAAAAAAAAGAAAAGAAAGTAAATTATAAATCAGTTATAATACAAACACAAAGATGAGTGCTGGCTTAATCAGTAAAAGAAATTGTATGGAAATATTAGGAATAATCATGCTTAGACAGGTTATCTTAGGAATGTAGGTAAGTCACTGGCCTCCAGATGAGAGAGATCAGATGCCAAAAACTTGTTTTAATTAGGATGCAAGCTTATTAAGTGAGGAGTTCTGAGAATTAATATCAAACTGCAAATCTAGACAACATATTCTTTCCCCCTCCCTAGTATTACTCAGAAATACCAAATCCTGCTGAAAAGCATGTTAATGCTAAGAAACTAAATGCCTCTTACTTCAAATAGTCGCTGGTCAGCATCGTCAAAGGACTTCCCATCAAGCCTGTTCAACACTTGAGCTACCCCTTTAGAAAGAGTTAATATGAATTAATTCTCAAGAGTGTTTTATTCATTGGTAAAATGTAAAATACATATTTCAAACTGAAAAGCAAAATTGCAAATATTTCTTCTGAAAATCATTAAACAGACAAACATGCAAAAGTCTGATTCTACTGATACGAGTACCCAGTTTACTTTCAATTGCTATTTCTTTACTCTCAAAGTTATAATACTACAAATCTAAAAGTCACTCAATGTTTTTCACAAAAGGTTAAAAGATCTCGTTTGAGTAAGAACTTCAGCACTTTGCTAACAGCAATCACATAAGTTGTCCTAGCAATTTGGAGTTAGCAATAAAATGTGCTAGATCAGTACCTTCATTCTTAAAATCTTAGTTGTTTTAGCATCAACTGCGTATATAAGCCCATTTTTACTCATGATTGATCCATTAATTCACTGGACCAATGAAAAAAAAATGCATTTTCCTTAAACCACTTGAAAAAGTGTTCAAAGCTCTTGTCTGTATCTGAACTAATACTGATTTCTACTGCAAAAAACCATTTCTACTTCATTTAGTTACAATATGCCCTTAAAAAAATCCTTTAAGAGTCCTCAGCAGTCAAGGAATCAGATTCTTTCTACTTCTTTAAGATAATGCACACTTCACAACAGGCTGTACTTTTAAGACTCAGTTCCCACATCATCTCTGCTAAAAAAAGCTCAAATATCCTTCATGATATCCAATGCCTTCAGCAACGTACGATCTCAGCCTTCAGCTGAGATCAGCTCTCACTGACAGCCACAACACACAGGGATCTAACTCTTGCCCTGATAATTTAAATTGCTATGGCTTTGACATCAATTCTACTGTGGAAAGTGAAAACATCCCTTCTTGGATGTATACCTAGCATGTATCCTAGGTACCATAACTTAACAACATTCAGCTGTGAAAAAGAAGAAAAGGAACACTGAATTAAAAAGACAGAACTAAATTTACATTAGCACAAAAGTTATGCAGCTATGAGGAAGCTCTTACCAATTATTTGGTGGGTGCTGTTCCATATAGGAACACACAGAACAGATCTTATGTGAAAGCCAGAAATTTGGTCAGCCTGAAATGTAAAAATGAGAGCTTCCATTAATCGTAGGTACCATTTGCAGCTTTTTAAATTATATTAACAGAAATGTCAAGGAGTAAGTATATGTTTACAAATGTCATTCCATATGGATTGGCTCTCACTCAGAAAAAAATTCTGCTGAAACCTCGTTCACGGTAACAAAAAGTCCTAAGGTTTATTCTAAAAACTGCCAAAGAAAATATAAACATTGGCATCTTTGACGCACCAAGCTTATACTATTTGAGTGTGATTTGGCATTAAAGACAAACTGCAATTGAGGCAATGTCCAGACAAATCCTGGATTACTTACACTGGTGGATTAATGGAGACAACTTCCACTGAACAAGTGTGCCTTAGAAATACTCTTCCCAAGTGTCAAACTGAAATTGGACTCAGGAAAACAGCTGTAAAAGAAGCCTTACAGGAAATATGCGTTTTCAAGAGTAAGTGGGGAATTGTGCAGAAGTGCAAGTTAATAAGAAATGGAAGGATGGAGTAAAAACCAATATTTGAGACAACTGGTCCTTTTGTTCTGATGACAATTTACTGCCTCATTTATTGTTTTCTAATACAGTATACAACTTCACAAGTTATTACAGGTGTCACTGATTCCCTCTTTTCTACAGTTAATAAGCTTTATTCCTTAGCGCCACTGCTTCAAAATCCGATGAACAGAAAATATTTTTTAAAAAGAGATTAGAGTAGGAGTGGCATGAGCCCTCCCACAGGAGATGCTCTCTTATTAAAACTGCCAGTGCTACAGGCAATCTGTTGTAAAAGCAAAGTAAAGGACCAGGAATAATTCATATACTGGAAGCATGATGGGATCACTGTGATCTCCTAGCCAGCAAAAGATATAACTCAGGTTTTAACAAGATTGCTGCTTAATATACATACTCAGAACTCATCACTGAAATCAGTGACACCTAAAATCCATAGAAGCAGGGGAACAATTGTTACAGATATATGGCTTAAAATGAACTAAAAAATACTTTGGCATTAAATTCTTGGTGAATGAGTTGAAAATTGAGCATCAACATTTGAAAACAACAATTAGTGTTCTGAAAAAAAATAGTGTTTTCAACAGAAGCAGAGAACAGAATATCTGTTCATAACTACAAATGTTTGTATGTATGATTCTATGTAAGTCATAAGGGATACTATTTTTGTCCTACTACACTTGACTACAGAAACAATTGAATGAAAAACTTGAATTTAAGAACTAAATTTTCAGAGGAACCCATTAAAAGAAAATAATTGTTGCCTTTTGTATTCTTTTTCTCTACATAAATTGGGCAGTGCCTCTAGCTTGGAAAGGACCGTGAAACAAATAAGAAACAGCTGAATTACTCAGGACATGATATAATAAAAGTACAACTGCAAACATCAAGGATTGGCATGCTTTATGCTAGTGTGTCTAAAAACCCCAGGCATTAATTCTACTTCTAGAAATTCTGAACATATTAACATCAGCATAGTTCTCTTGTCCTTTTTTTACAGCTGACCCCTTATATTTTTCTTGTTTCAAAAAGTTCTGGGTGTTTGAGAGATAATCCCTTTAATGGCACATGGAATAAAACTCGAAGCAAGCCAACTCTCAACACGAAGCGCTTCCAAGCACACTTATCGTAGTAACGTAGTTTAGGAAACTTTCTGAGCAAGGCTGTCCACTGATTAGTGTGCTGCCCAACTGCTGGCAAAGTCCTCCATAGTAACACAGTTTCACTGGATAGAATTCAGTGAAGGTTTTGTCCTTCTGTGTAACTCTAGCATTTATTTAGAGGTTAAGTATACACATAGGCTTTTATCTGCAGCTACAGCTTTCTAACTGAGGCTGGAATGAATAAAATACACAAACAACACAGTAAGATACCTTAAGATACACAAACAACTCTTATGGAGAGTGATATTTATCTCGAAGAAATAACTAACCCAGTGTGTATTTGAGCAAATTAAAAGGTTAATTGGCTAAGTTAGATCACAAACAACATTCGTCTGCCTTGATATCAGTTCTGTTTACACCCAGTGTGTGTACAGCCCCAGGGACCCCAACAGCTAATGATGGTGGTGCTACACTGAACACCAACAAATTTTCAGCAATAAAAATCAGTTTGCATAAACATCAATGCTAATGGCAGATGAAGTTATCACTTATAAATAGGAAAAAAAAAGAATCACAGACAAAGTAACTGCCTAAAGTCATACAATATTTCAGTGATCTGTGTTTACTGTATAAAGCCATGTCAACACCAGAAGACCAGTAGGAGCACATGCTAGTTAGAAAAAAATTCAAAATATTCACATGTTTTAGAGCTACCTGGATATAACGATAAAGTTTTTATATTAGTTTCAATGCCAAAAAGACAACATATATTTACATTTCTAAAAATCTCTTACTTCAGCATCAAAGCGAGGATCCTGATAGGCATCACTGATATTCACTGGGAGACCTGTGGAAGCGACGAGTTCAGCAATGCTATTATTTACTAGCCAGTCAGAATAAGATGATTTCTCCACACTGTCTTTGAAACTATCAAAATGCAGAGCAAGAGAAAAAAAAGATTACAATCAGTGTTACTTGCAAGTCCAGCACGTCTTACATGCATATTCACAGAAAAGGCAGAACCATTAACAATTTTTAATGGTTACCAAGAATGAACTATGGAACAGTAATTTGGTATTTACTGAAATGGTACCTCAAAAATTCCCTCCTTTACATAACTCTTTCTATTGAAAATAGCATCAGCAGCCCAAGTAAATAAAATATATAACAAATATATGAATTTACCTATGAATCAAGTGTGGATTATGTTCCAGGTTTCTGTGGGATATAGGCCTGCCCACCCAAAACTCTAAATAATATTTAGAACAGTTTTAAATAATATCAGGGTATTTTTAATTCTTAGTTCTAATTTTTTTTGTGGTTTTTTGTTTTGGGTTTTTTTGTTTTGTTTCTTTGGGGTTTTTTGTTTTGTTTTGTGTGTTGTGGGGTTTTTTTTATTTTGGTCTAAAATGACACACCTGAATGGCTGAAGAAGGGATCATGAAATAAGTCTTAAAATCAGTACTTGAAGTATGTTGCAGCAGTCACACAATATGTGAAGGTTTCGTTGTTTGTTTGTTTGTTTTTAACCTGGTTGAGCTTCTGCTACAATTACTGAGGGGATAGAGAGCTATCACTAAATGAGTATAAGACACTAGAATTATGGGCTTAACTCACCACACTCCACTGCAGCTTCTCCAGAAAACCCAGTTTCTACGTGGACCTTAAAGTCCTCTCCTTATACCCCACCTAATCAGCAGGGAAGTTTTCATTGACCTATTGCAGGCAGGTTTTTGACATTTGTCTAGCTATTCATATGTGAATAAACAATGCATTTTGTCCTAGTTTTGAGAAGAAAAGTGATTAATTTTCAGCACCTGAGAAATATTACTTAGAAAAAAGCAAGGAAGCAGCTATGGAGAAGAGTACAATAACTGGAAGCTTCAAAGTAATGCTCATGAATGAAAGAAGGATGCACAGTAAAATCCTTGAAAGACTCAATCAAAGTGAAAGGATTGACTTTGTCAGCTGCACTGATCCTCTGTAAACTAATTCAGCTATGCCACTTGTCTGAAAGAAAACTTAATATTCTTAAAAGACTATAAATAAAGGCAATAATAATGATTTACACAAATCTAAGTGTATCAACTTTCACTTGGGATAAGAATTTTGAGTGACTATAATAAATGTTATGTGTATACTTTGACAGGAGCTTTTACATAAATATGAGGGGTTTTGAGCTAAGTAAAAGATTCATATTTATAATTCAAAATTTATTTCAGGACACCAATACATGAGAAGCAAAAAATCTATAAGGATAAGAATCTAATTTCAAATGCATAGTTCCCAGTTCATAACTTAAAAATCTGAATGGTATTATCATTATAAGACACATAAATCAGGACTGCCTTATGGGTGTCAAGCACTTCAAGCAGCAAATGAATTCAAGTAAAATAAACAAAATAAAATCCACGAAAAAGTTTTTAAAGTAGGTTCTGTTATGTTGAGGGATTTCAGCAATTCCTCTGTACCAGCCCAAACAGGAAGGAGCACAGATATTTTTGCCCACACAACACATACTCTGGCCCAGGCAGTTGATCTGTCCACTACCAGTGGGACTCAGGTTAGAGGACTGTAACCTCAGCTACCTGCTAAAATGTAATCCCATCTGCAAAAATGGCTTCTTCTGTGCAGGGAAGACACAGCCCACAGCACATTCCATCAGGCTCATCTTCATCTAGAATATATCAGAACTTAACCCTCAAGACTTCTAAGTTTTTGTATTAATTTTTCAAAGGGAGAGAAAATTTAGGAGACTTGGCAAATCTGTACTTCAAGAATAAAATCACTGTCAAAAACAAGCATCAGTGTGCCACTATGCATAATAAACAAACTTGATTATGGTATGATGGAAAATTGCAAACTGAACAGATAAATTCAAGTGTGGTAGTGCAAGATATTTCTTTACAATCAACAGCAAAGAAAAAAGCTATGAATATTTATTATAATATTTAGGGATTAAACAGGTAAGCTGCTATCAGGTAGATGTAAGGAGTGCAAAAGAAAAGCCAACTTCAACTCTGAAGAGATATTAGGGCATGCAAAGTCATGTTGTCTTAGGAGCTTCACTCTCATTCAGATAAAACTTACAACTAGAACTGTTCTCAGCCTACAGTTTATTTCAATTTCCACTACAATTTCAAAGAAAAATATTTATCTTAACTGCTGTAATGATAAAGAAACTCATCTTGCCATTTTTTTCCACATGAAAAGTCTCATGACTTTACATCAGTTACAGCTGCAGAATGTAGAATGAAAAGGGCAAAACTCACTACAAAAATACTCAAATGTCAAGAGCTCACAGCACTGTTCTGTATCCTAAATAACCTTTATTTTCCCACTACAGTGCCAGTAACTCAAACTGTGCCTGTGCTAGATCCAAATGTGACATCATATCTACCAGTCTAACCTTGATCATTGCAAAACCAACTTCATTCTTCACTGGATGAAAAAAAGACCAAGAAAAAGCAATTCATCTTTATATTAAGACACACAGAAATATACCTTTATAAATCTTATAAAGACTAGGTGTTAGGTTGCACATGTTTATTTATGTCTTGGACTAAAGAAAATAATCTTGACTTGACTACATGTGGAGCAGGCTACCACAAACTGCTTTGTGGAAACGTGATAATATAACTATGGTAACAAGAAATGAGCCAGCTTGGTTATCTTGACACCACTCTACATTGTTTTGACTAATCTGGCTACAGATCAAGTTTGAGAAAAACAGGAATAACAACCACATCCCTTGATTCATACTCCCGTCCCTGAACAAAAGAAATGTATTTTCACCCCCTAGGAAAGACCAACTGCTACTCTGAAACTCTGTCAAAAGCAGTAACTCATGATTCCCAGATGAATCACAGATTATTTATTAATATTTAAATCTTCCTATTTCTTATCACTTGTTTTCCATTTGCCTCACCATTCCCTATCTGAAGCAGTGGACAGGACATGACAGAGATCTAGACTCTACCCAGCTTTCTGTGTGGCTCTGGACCCTGCTCTCAGTTTGCACATCTTAAAAATAACCCCACCCATCCTTGTAATGCTGCAAAATTGATCCATGAGAAGGTTTAAGACAACCATTTGATATGGAGACTTCTCATTCAGAATCAGTATGAATTAATTTGCATAAAATGTATTATATTTTATATGACATGTTTATCATATTTGTGCTCTGAGGTTTCTAGGCTTTCCAACTTGACAAGAGTAGAAACAAAATTTTGCTGGAAACTTTTCAACACACTGTACGGAGGCATTTTGTAAGAGATCAACAAATGATCTAAAACAATTTTATCTTTATTATTTGTAATTCAGTATTAACCATGCAAAACAATATCTGCGTGTTATCCACAAGTTCAACAACAAAAAGTCAGTTTTTTCCTGGTTTCTTACCTGAGACGCTGATACAATGGCATTGCATATACACACACACAAATACATATAAATATAGGCACATATATTTATTCAAGCAAGTCTCCATTTGAAGCAAACAGGAGTCTCATCTGAGTAAAAACTGCAGGCTCACACTCTTCGGTCAAATCTACCCAAAGTTCCATAAGCAAATAAAAGCTTGGGGAATAAAATTTAAAACTTTGTGAAAAAGGAAGTAATCCAAAACCACACAAGACACAAGCACTAACCTGGTGTCAGTATCAGCACTGCATTTTGGAGATAACAACTCAAAGGATTTTGTAAATTTCACCACCTGTCACAAAAAAAGTAACTTAATATTATTATTAAGATCAATATCTAAGAAAACAGTAATATGAGATTCCTATATTTAAACTGTATTTTTATCAAATGATCTTGGAATAAAAATACAATCTGTGTTCCCCCAATGGAGAATTCACATTCAAAATACACACTGTGCACAATTCACTAAGAAATAATATAAAACCACATGATATATTTCAATTCTAGGAAACTATCTTCTAAAACAGGATATGCTTCCCTTTAAAGGCTTTCAGAATGTGAGTTATGGAGCATTACCCAAAATTCACTTGTTTAATATAGGAACATAAACAGAAAGACACATTTGCATTACCAATTGCAACTAATTACACTTGAAAATACGTGCCAACAGCACTTATATGAAACATTTTAAGACTGGCTAACATGGCACAGAACAGAGGTCATATGTTTTTGGATGAGTCCCCATCTTTGCTTCAGTTCTGTATTGTAAAAGCTTTTTGCACAATGTACAAATGACAACATTTTAGGCATGGTTTAATATTGAGTTACTCTATAGAGATTTATTTTGATATATGGGTTAAGCCTCCAAAATGGAGGGAAATCAGGAAAATAACTGTTTTGTTGCTTATAAAAATTATCAAGTGAGCAGAAAGATGTTATTCTCCTACTCCAAAATAACCTAAGATTTATGACCATTTAGGACAAGTTTAGATTTTTTGGTCACATTTCACAATTTGGTCTAGAGGAATAAAAGCTCATTGCTTATGGTTTGAGAAAAAACCCTCCAAGCTCAAAGGTAGAAATAATTTTTCTGCTCAAAGAAAGAGCAGAAAAATTAACTGAACATAGCCACTGAGAACTTGCTATCACAATGTACTGTTCTGTGAAAAATAAAAGTCGTATTATACTTGTAAACACAGGGACATTTCATAAGAATGGAGAATAACTGTCTACTGTAATTATAAAACTGGGGGGAAAGGAATTTAGAAAGAAAAAATAAACTAGAAACATTAAAATACTATAACAGAGAATATATAAGTGAAATACAAACCTTGATCTTGCTTTTATGAAAGCTAGTATAATTTAGGAAAAGTTCCACTGAAATGACTTCATTTCTAGTAACTTAAATGAAATGAGAATCATATCTTTCCTCCAAGGAAAAGGAATGGGGTTTTTTTCTGCCATACAAACAAACTTATGAGTCTGTCTCTGATAATCATTTAGACTTGTCACAGCACAGCAACAAATAATCAGCTGCAGAGTCAGTGAATCCAATAATACTTGGGTAGAAGAAAAATGATATTACGAACAATGTTTTTATCCTTCAGCTACTTCCAAAATCAGTAGAAAGAAGGACAGTTTGTGCTGAATAGTCTGAAAACACTGGAGGGAGCTACCAATATGAAGGCAGCCACTTATTTTACTACTAAAACCAATATTCATAAAAAAGTTAAGCATTTTTAAAGAGGCTTTCGTACCACATAAATATCAGAATTGCAAAGTCCCAGTGAAAGCCCCCGTCAAAACATCTATCTGTTCAACTTAACAGAGCTCTGCAATGAAATGATTATTGCCTGGTCAAATGCAAAGAGCAATTGTAAAAACCATACCTACTTCAGTAATGCTGAAATTTGTGTTTTCATTTCACTTGCTCAATGTAAAGGCATATTCCTATCACCAGAACACTACTATCTCTGCACTTGTATGCAAATGCATCTTTTCCAATGGATTTTGTGTTACAAGAGGACTTACCTTTTAACAGCATTTTCATTATTTAGGAACTGAAACTGGTCCTCATTATTTATTTTGCAAAGTAATAAAGAAACGTGTTAAAAGGAGCACACACAGCTATTCCCAAACAGACCCTGCCAACCTAACTGAGAGGAAAACTTCCAGGAAGGAAAAAATCCCATGGAGTAGTGGTCATCAAAAGTCACTGGGAAAACTCCCTGTGTTGCAGGTTCAGCCCTCACTGTCTTGCTGTTCTTCCACACTAAAGAATTGGATTCCACAAAAACATATTAATGAGACAAGTTCAGAAGCTGTGAAGACACTTATTAGACTGCTGTAAACCCAGCTGAGTTGCTGAATACACAGGACTGTCAGCTAACAAAGTCTCGATGAGTTTATTTTTAGCTGTGATTTCTGAGTGGCCAGTAGTCTGATTGAAGATATAACATGTTTGCATACTAGAATTGAAATTACTTATTTCAGTTTTCAACACTTAAACAACAATTAACAGACACAAAAGTATGAAAACCATGGCAATATTAACAAAGATGCCTGATAATTACTTACTGGAATGTATGCAGAAAAGGTTAGTTGTAAAAATGAGCGTTAAAAATTTGGTTGATGATACAACTGTTTCTTCTGAAACTGCTTGCAAGCACCACCCATTTGATAAGTCAATGGTCTGAGTGTTAGCAAGGTTATAAATGTAAGTGAAGCTAGAGACAGGATTTTTCTTTCCTTCTTGTCGCTATATCATAAAAGAAAGGAGCTGAGCAAATAAATATTTGATAACAAATCAGGTCATTTTTCCTTTTTAAGCAGACCACAAGAGCACCTTGCTTCTCAGCTAAGAAGTCACAGCCGCTCTGTAGGAAGCACTAATTCCGTCACACAGATAACTGAGAATCACAGAATATCAGCTGGATCACACACCAGTGATAGTTTGATCCATCAGCAGCTTACAGACATCCATTAAATGCCTTCAAGTGCCCATAAGGAATCACAAATTGTATTTCAGTTTCCATCTGAAAAAGTGCCTATACTGGTTTAGCTCAGATGGTATTGATTTTCTTCATAGTAGCCTGCAGTAATGATACGTTTTAGTTATGTGATGAAAACAGCATTTACAACATAGGGATGTTTTACTGCTCAACAATACATACATAGTGTCAAGGCCTTCTCTGCTTCTGATTCTGCTACCCCATAATAGATTGGTTGATTCCAGCTAATTAAAGGGATATCCCATACTATGATGCCATACAATGTCACACTCAGCAATAAAAGCTGAGGGAAGTTTCCACTGCACATGATGAAGCCCTGCTTTCCTGGAAATGACAAATCACCTGCCTGCTGATTGGAAGGATCATATGAATTCTTTATTTTGCTTTGCCTGTGCATATAGCTTTTGCTTTACCTACTGAACTGTCTGTACCTCAACCCACAAGCTTTCACACTTCTAGCCTTTCAGTTCCCTTCCCCATCCTACTGGGCTGTGTGGGACTTAGCTGCCTACCAGGATTAAAGCACAACAGTGGTATTGATAAAGATTTGACCTGTACCTAACTCACATTTAGGAACAACATACTGGAAGAATTCTTGCTGTCCAGTATTTACATATGACAGACAACAGCTCCACTACAATAAAAGCAAATATTAGTCTTTTTACAGAATGTGCAGCTGTACTTACAGGTGATTCGATATCTTCCAGAAGTAATACTGAGCACCGTTCACACTTCAGAAGAGTCTGGGCCCGATGCATAATTTTCTTGACAATTTTCTCTAAGTCAGTCTGTTCCTCAAAGAGGTCATTCACTACTTCCAGTAATGCCTGCATACAAGGACAGAAAACTCTCTTATTGGTTATAGAATTAATAAATACATGGAGCATTGTAAAGGAGGCCCCATCCTTGGGATTGATATAAAAATCCATTGAAATCTTCATTCAAAAAAAGTTCATAATATTTATGGCAAGAGAATTGAAGTGGGGGTATCTGAAGAAAGAAAGAAGTATTTCTCGGTTCATAACTCGGCACAATCCAACTTCTAGCAAACAGCGGGAATCTTTCAAACTATTTTACTTTGGTCCAAAAATGAAACAATGGCTGTAACTCAATGAAGTATGGACTGAGTTACTTGATTTTCTATATTGAATTTGCTAGGGCATTTAAACTCCATTTTATTCTTTTATTACCCAATTTTCATGTTCAAAGCTGGAAAGGAAAAAAAGCCACATCAATACCTCAGAGTCTAACAGCACTCTGATCCAGCCTTTACCACTAACATGTCTGTAAAATACAATGCTTTAAAATTGAGGGCTTTCCCTCTCATTTCATCAACCTTTAAAAAATAAGCCCTGTCCTCTCTCACCATGGGTCCAAAGAAATGTGCTTTTCCCCTTATTTTCATTTAGGGCTGACACTAAAGAACATCAATACAGGTAAGCATATAAACTGGAGTGGTCTTAGCTCTTCTAACATGGTGGTCACCAGCAAAATTTTGGTCACAGTCACTGGGAGTTGCCACCATTGATGCCCAGTGTGATAGTCAAGGCATAGTATGGACTTGTCCACCACTTGGTACTTGCCAATTAACTTCAGCCATGGACTAGGCAAAGCCAAAGGCCACCAACAGGCCAGAATGCAATTATGTACAGGCCACCACGCAGCTGTCAAATGGCAATGACATTTTTTATGTTTTGCATGGCTGAAGCAGCAACAAGAAACAAAGAATCTGTACCTCTAACCCAATTTCCTGGCACATCCAACCATCAGAAATTACCCTTCTCCAGTGAAGAATGACAATGTCTCTAACACTTTTCTGCTGAAAGCCTTGCTCAGAAGATTAAACACTGATTCCTCAAAATTCTGTATTGTTCCCTGCAGTCAGGGAATCTGCAGCAAATTTCAGACCTTTGAGTAGTCAAACAATTATTTTATTTGAACATCAAAGAAAGAAAAAAACCTCTGGCACACAATCATTTTTATTCCCCAAGTCTCCTCCGCATCTCCACCCCAAAATATAATGGTCTGTTTTCAGACCTGGACCAAAGACAAGCTCACATTCCTCATGACCCTTAAATATAAGAGCCATTAGAAAGGGCTATTGTTAGTTTTCAAAGTAGTGGAAAGCATCAGTTTTCACACATGGAAAGCACCAGAACCATGAATATAAAAATGTCAATATACAGGCCCAGACCACTGTATTCTCTCCTATTTTGTGAAGGAAGAACAGGTTCAACACTGTCTGGGGTATTTTTACTGAAGTTTTGGAGCCGTGATCCATGCTAACAGAAGTATAACTTCCTGTCATCATTTCAGGAAGGGCGATTTAAAAAAAAAAAAAAAAAAACACAACAACTCAAAATTACAATTTTTTTTCTTGAAAAAAATTAAAAAACCTCTCTGGCAAGTAAATGACAGGAAAGCTCAGCATTATTTTCACTTCAGAACCTCCTGTCCCAACTCATTCACGGCACCAGCAATCATGAGTAATGCTTCTATGCAGACACATGCTGTCAAAACCCTTCACATATAGGGGTTTCTTTCCTGCTTACTTTTAGAAAGATATACCCACATTATTTGCACATGAATTGAATATTAAAAATTCAGGATGGAAAAGGCTTGATATTACTAGAATTTTATGAGAGCTTGAATCTCTGCCAAAGTAACACTCTCTCCTGCACTGTCTATGCCACAAATGCAATTGTTTCAGCACTACAAAACACAGAACTGACATCAGGAAATAACAGCCACCCCCATGAGTGCATTTCCCTCCCACGCTCTCTGCTTGCTGCTTCAATCAAGACAGAAATCTGTTGAAAATACAGTTTTTGAAATGAAACGTAGTTAAAACTGTCTGCTTAGCAAACAGGTACACGTAGTTGGAAGCTGAAGGAACAAAAGACCAAAGTCTGATATTGGTCCACTATGTGTTTTTTACTTACTCTGCTTCTGTCATATTCCTTCCTTGAAGCTGCAAATAGTTGGGCGTTGGATATGGCAATCCCACAGAATGGGAGGTACATCTGCATCACCTAGTATGAAAAGAAATTCAGAATTACTAAAAACAACTGCAACTGTTTATAGCAAAGAGACCTAAACTTAGGGGACATGTCCCAGGAGAGTCTCAGTTCACTCGCTCTTCAGCAGAACACTGAACACAAAACAAAATTATCATGGGCAAGGCACATAAAATGGGTGGAAGAGAGATCAAATATCTAGGAAAGAACAAAAGCAATTGAGTTCACAGGTCCCAGCAGTGAGTGTCCTCTGTAATTTCTCTGGAAAACTGCAGATTCTTAACTCTATAAAACGTCTGTTGAAGACTGCATCCAATTTCAGAAGATATTACAGCTTGCCTAGAAAAATATTCTTTATTTTTCTGGACCATTTTCTTGTTCTAAGCTCAAGAAGCAAGCTTGAATCACATTACTGTTGATTTCTAGGGGATGTAGATTTTGGATAATGCCATCGGAGTGGAACACAGCACATTGATCCAAAACTATTAGTCAGAAAGTTGTCTTCTCAATGAAGGCTAAAAAAGAAATAGTTAAAGAACATGCTTGAAAAACTGGGCCTTAATGGATCATCACACATGAAGAAAGACTGGAAAAGAGGCACGGGGAACATATTTTGAGGTGCACAAAATAACTTTAAAATATCTGTAGGACCAGCACTTTCACAAGGATGACAATGGATCAAAGTCCAAACCCAGCATTTTTAAGCCACATACTGGTAACACGTGTGTAACACACTGCCACTGCTGAGTGGTTCCCAAGCTTGGGTAGGAGACACTTAGTAAATTTTACAGGTGCTGAATAGCCTTAACATTTGCAAAGCCAGTGGGAGTTGAGGCACTCTGCTGTTTACAGAACCAAAAGGATGCAGCAGCAGCTAACTTCTCTTCTCTTTGGTCGGTTGTCTGTCTACTCTAAGGAATCCTTTCTGTAGCAAGCTTTGGCATTAATAGGGTATTTGTCTTTGAAATGCTATTTAATTAGAAAAATACTGCTAACACAGGAAACAGGGTTATTGAGCCTATTTGAGGAAGGAACCCAGAAGAGCAGAAACAGCAGCAACTGCTGTTATACTTTATCTGCTTTACACGCTCCACTGGTTGTATACCTACCTAATGTGTATTTCACTGATGATGAGTTTTTGAAAAGCATCTTCAGATCCTCTGAATTTTGTGCCTGCACAGCTGGCATTCTGTCAGAAAAACTGAAGATTTTAAGGTGCACACTTATGATGCTAATTTGGAAACATTATACTTCCAACCTCCTTCCATCATGATTGCCTCTAAAGGATAATTACATATTTTGGACTTCAGGAAAGAATAGAGTCTTACATTATCTTTCATTTTGTGTAACAAATTGATAAGTGGGTTTAATTTTTTGGTGGTCAGAACTTCTCTGAGAGAATTTGGCATATTTCAGTTTAGATTTATTTCCAAAATGAAAGAGAAAACCTATCCATTTTTTCTTGTAATGGTACTAAAAACACATCCAAATAAGAGATGCAGAACACAAAAGTTAACTTGAGAAAAATCTGACATTTAGTGCAATTTTGAATATCATAGTGAGACTGGATACATTTTTATTTAATAAAAAAAATTGAATACTAGTATTTATTGTCTTCCCATTGGAACCTCTATTCCCAACTTTAATGTGACCCTGTGACAATGGAAAGCATAAAAGAAGTTTATGAACCTTCAGCCATCACAAAAACAGCTAGCAAAATGTCTTTTTGTCAATAAGAAAATATATTGCTCCCTGGAACCCAAACTCCAAGGCCCTGGCTTTATGCAGAAATTAACATCCAAAACCCACTGTTATATGAATTTTCAAGAGTCTGGAAAGCCACTGCCATAACATCATTCTTTTCACCACTCAAACTAATTGTGTAAGGTGCAGTGCAACTAAGAAAGAGACACAAAGCTCTTTAAGATAACAAGTAAAAGAAATTAATAAATGTCAACATCTATGAAGAAAAAGTCCTGAGAAAAACACTCCTGTCAGGCAGAGAGGAACCACCCTGTGATAACAGATACATCAATTATCCATGTTTACCTAAGAACAACTGGAAAAATAAACACCCACTCTTGTTCCTTTTTCATACTTTCTGAACTCTGAGGGTAACTGATACCTAAACCACTTTTGGCAAACTGGAATACAGTGCCAAGTAAATAAAGAATGAAGGCATTTCTAATGCTAACTGCATTTCAAGTAAGTTTTTAAAATCAGAATTGCAGAATGAAGTAGAAAGCAGTTATCCTGTTCTGATTTCGGATTCCACATTTAAATATGCAGTACTAAAATGTATTGTAAGGACACAGTATTGAATGGTTGGCCACAGAGACACTGTTAAGCATCACATGACAGGAATTGACAATTATAAATAACAGAGTTATTTTAAATTGTCTTGGTGAGACAAGACCTCGTTAAGAAGGAGCTGGGCTTTTCTCCATCTCATGTTCCCCTGTAGCACTAAACAGACAGGACAGTTTGCTTCTACCAACCAACATCTGTACAGGTTTTACCAAATAGTCTATTAGAGTGAGGCTAACCAGATGCAGCAACTGTGTTCTGACACTGGGTCCAAAGGTTGAATATGCAACATGTTTCTGTTACACCAATGCACAAAATATTAGTGTGAAACTCATAGGAAAACACCCAGTATATCTTTCCGAAGTACCTAAGGTAATTTCCCTTTGTTACAAAACAAAACAAAAAAAACAACAACAACAACAAAACCCAAAAGCATAGCTTTAGCAGATATAACTAATTAATTTATTTTGTCTAATAAGAATAGTTGTAATGCTTCATTGAAGTACTATTTGCAATACTGCCAAACAAATATAAATATATGTAAGTATGTAATAGTATATTTTTTAAAAGTTTTGTTCAGGCTGAATAACAATCTAATGAATCTGCTGAGATGTTGAAAGATACTACTCTTAGTGTGTGTGTGTGTGTCAACTATAAGGCATTCAGATATAGTAAGTGCAGGTTACACCATTCTCATACCTAACCCTCCAGTAAGTACCATGTCCTTGGGCAGCAACTACATTCACCTCACAAATTCACAGCAGCGTACAAAAGCTAAAAAGCTGTGTTCACAAACTGTTCAATATTTTATTAGGGCAGGAAACCTTCATGAAAAGAAGATGAAATAATGGGCACTGTTTCAATATCTCACTCTCTTCCTTCTAAATTCTATTATTTCATTACGGGATTATTCTATGGTAGGAGTACTAAAACATAACTACCAAGGAAACAAACAGTATAATTACTGGAAGTTTTAGTATTCAGTTATGTAGCTACCTTAATTTTCAGCTATGTCTTGAAGATGACGGATCTTTACTGCAAAACTACACCAGTTTTGATCAATGAATGCCCTGACCATAGTTACTTTTTCCTTCCCACAGAAAGATACACTCCCAGTGCTTTAGTATCTCCACACATCTCCAAACGGTATACCTAAAGATAGACTTTAAAATCTATAATAAGAACTGAAGCAGTAGTTTAATATTTGGAAGTATAAAGCGCTTCCAGATTCTGCAATATTAACATCTCAGACAAGAAAGTTAAAAACTGAGCTCACGTTTCATTGAGGTTTTTTGTTTGTTTTTAATGGCATCAGTTCTGAAATCCGTATGAAACACACCAGTTCTCATGCAGAAGTTTAAAGTGTAGGTTTCCATATGCTTCCTCTTCATAATCACAGTTTTACAGTTTCATACCTGGTTGCAGAGCTGTCTGGGCACATCAGCATCTGGACACCTACACTACAGCATTACAGTGTCTTGAGGTGTGACACTCATTTTCCTTTCATCTGGCTTTTCACAGATGATGAGACATAGAATACATAAGTTAATAAAATGCTTATTAGTGTTCCTTTGAACTGCTAAAAATAAGTTAAGGGTTTCTTCTCATGATCTGGGGTTAAGTTTCACAATAACTTGATACATGATACAATTTTTTTTTAATCATCAGAAACAGGAAGGAGAAGACCTCTAGCCAAGCTCTTTCTGACAACGCCTGTCCTCAAGGGATACCACCTTTCCCTTCACCACACAGTCTGGGGATGAAGGTCCTTACAGAACCTGCGAACTCTTCCCTTGTTACACAAGAGAAGTCCTTGCTGGTTCCAGCTTCATAAGTTCAAAAGAAGGCTGTTTTCTAGAATTGTGTACCTCATGGGAAGTAAGTTTTGAAATTTTCCCTTAATGAAAAGAAGGTGCAAAAGCAACAAAGCTGCACGCACACAGACCTGCAATGCAGGAAGTTATTTGCTAGTAATGAAGAAGAGCCAGTGCTGCAATGGTAGCACACTGCAGAGGTAAAATGCTTCACGCTTGCTGGCTGGAAAGCAGCCATGAGTTCAGCTTCAGATAAGCGCAGTGACATTTACCCTGCCTCCCCTTCACACAGTTTTGCTCTCACCGAGCATCCTCCAAGAGCACACGCTGCTGTAACTATCTCATATAGTCTAACTCACGGCTTCTGGCTTACTCCAAACACCCGCTTGCCTGTGGTCACAAAAGAAAACAATTCTAATGTCTGACGGAAGAAAGAAGCCTCTCAGTAATGCTTGTGTACTCATTCTGGCACAAACTCCAGGTTAAGCTCTCAGCAAAGGCCTGTCTGGTTCAGTTGTTTTCTTTAGTGGCCACAGGAGCCACTTCTCTTTACACAGCTTGCTCGGTAAGCCTGGGGGGGAAAGGAGCTAGTACAGCCTTCCTAGAAAGAGAAAGGAAGCCCTTTCAAAGTAAATGTTGTTGCTGCAGTTTAAAATTATATATGCTTTGTGGACATACTTGAAACCAAGTCAGGGAAGCCAGCTGCCCTTTGAAACATTTTCTAAGGTGTTTAAAATAGGTTCAGAGAATGAAATATTCTACTGAATTCTGAAAAGAATAAACCAAATTCAACTGCAAAATGGTTAAACACAAGCATTTATCTAAATTCCCTTACCTTCTGCCAGCTGTGCAGGGTCTGGCTATCCACACACCTGATAAAATCTAATTGTCATC